AGCAAAGGAACCCACACCGGCACCACTCAGGCCAGGTCGCAGTCTCAATCTAAATCTCAGTCACAATCCCAAACACAGTCGCAGTCGCAGTCTCTGCTCCAAACTACTTTGCCTCACCAACTACGGGGCCCTGTTCAAGCTCTAGTTAGATGGAATTTTCCGTGAGATGGTAGCTACATAACTTCCAGATCGTAGTTCTTGCATTTTATACGAAATGTTATTTAAAGAAAACAAAAAACAAAAAACCAAAAACAAAAACATTTTCGAATGGCCAAAGAACAACTACAAAACTACAAAAGAACGAACAAAAAGACTCTTAACAAAAGGCACAATTTTTTTCAATGTAAGAGAAACGCACAACAAATACACAAGGCTTTTTTCGAGCTTCAAAACTTCCACAAACGATGAAAAAAAAAACAAAAAAACCAAACAGCTTTCTTTCGTATGGAGATTATCATTAGATGCATTTTGAATTTTTCCCCCCTTGAAAACCAAGCATATAAAAATAATTGCATTTACAAAGTAAACAAAACAAAAATACCAACAAAATATATGAAAATGTTTTAGCAAATTTTTAAAAAGATAAACAAAACAAAAACAACATTGAGAATCACAAAAACAAATTTAAAAAAATATATATTGGCTTATTAAACAATTTTATCGATGTTGAATGCTGCATATTTCAAATAGGACAAAACAAAGAATTGAATTGAAATTGAAATTAAAATGAAAATGAAAATACAAGCAATGCAAAAATCATATCCCGCATTCATGGAGATCTATGCATAATCTATTGGCTAATCGACATTTACTCTATATACTATATACATACGACTAATACCTAATACCGATATGTATGCGTGTGTTGTTATATAATTTTTAATTGAATATTTAAGCTAATCGAATCAAATCAAAGTACAGACAACGCATCAAGTTATAAGCATATTGTTGCTTACAAAATCATCATTAATGTAAATTGACTACATCGATGTGAAGAGTAATTTATGTATGTGTGCACGAGTGCATACATTTTAAGTATCTTTTTTGGAGCATATTTTACGAATTTTTAAAAGGAATGGAGTTTTTAACTAGTCCCTTAGTTGTTAAATTGTGAAACATTTCTGATTTGGTTTAAGGCCAGGCCTTGTTGTTGTTATCCTCTCAATCATTCTCTTGAGTTGATATTTTATTTAGCAATTGTATGCATAATTTATTCTCGTAATGATTCTACTCTATCGATGTACGCAAATGCTTTAAATGTTAGCCTGCTTCTGGTACAACAGATTCCATTAAGTACCTACCTAATCAATACAAAAACGAAGATAATTAAAGATCATCTTAATCCAATTTCTCTTGGGCAACTGAATAGATTGTTATGCCATACAGACAACACGCTCCTCCCCCAGATATAAATCAATTTTAATAAACCATATGCGAAATCATATTCTAGCCCATAACTAATGAAATTTAATAAGAAAAACAAAACCAATCTATACAAACGTACATACATATATACAATATACAACAAATTGAAAGCTGACGATCATCCGAAGATCAAAAACCCCCCTATAAAAAAGAGAAATATATACAAATTACAAAAGGAGAAAAAAACGAAATTGATGGAGAATACTAAATAAATACATAATTAACTGAAGCCACAAGTTGTTTAACTCTTGCACGGGTCAGGTCTCCCCATTTAAACGCCTCATAATGTCAATTAAGGCGCACTTTCCCACACTGGCCTCCCCATGGCAGAACGAGACAGCTACACAGAGGGACAGAGATGTAGAGAGGGAGAGCGCGCGCGATCAGTTACACAAAGGCATACGCGTAAATGCGAGTTTAATGTGAGCCGGTTTGCGGTACGGACGAGCAGGCGATGTCTTGTTGGTTTTTTATAAGGCTAAATGCGTTAACCATTTGATCATGCGAATATTAATTGGCATTGGCCAACACCACACCACACCACAGCTCAGACCGAACCCCAGGCCAGCCGCACTCATGCTCTAATGTTGCCTGCAACAAAATGCGCGCATGCGTCAAAAGTGGCCAGGCATCATTGAACAGGATAGGCAAAGAGTCTGTCCAGCCAGAATGACGACGCTTTGAGCAACCTGGGACCTGAGCATTGTACCATCATCATCATACTAGTGGTGGTATTTGGTTGAAGTAAAGAAGGAAATTTTTGGATAGATTAAAAGAAAAATAGTAAAAAAAAAAAAGTTTTAAATAAAAAATGCTTAAACTATTTTCATATTAAACTGAAAGCATTAAGCAAAAACTTTTTCCATAATTTCCATGATGATAAGTAGTGTCACGACATCGTGTCACGTATCCATCGCTAGGCGGCTGGCGGCTGGCGGCTGGCTGCATTTGATGCTTCATCTTCCGCTTAACGGTTTAAGTTATTGTCTCTCTCCGTCTCACTTGCGTGCAATTTGTGGCGCACAGCTTATCACAATTTCATTATTATTATTATTACTATTATTATTACTATAGTCATGGGGATATGTACGGGTATATAACGTTGCCTTCATGACTCCCCACCCTCCTATCGCTCTTTTCTGCACAGTACCATTTGCCATTTCTCTGGATGTGCGTTTATTTGTAATTGAAATTGCGTGACTTTATTCTTTGATTTCGCTATTCGCCATTGCCATTGCCATTTCTTGTATGCTCGTAATGTGCTTTTGCGTATAACGCGGAGCTGGGGAATGGAGAATGAGATGCGGTGAGGAGGGAGAGGAGAGGAAAGGGGTCAACCTGTAAACTTCCACATTTTGCCCTCTTCCACCAACTGATTTATGCCTTTAACTGCAAAGCACAAAACAAAGTACATACAAAAAACCCACAAGTTACGATTCAGTTAATAATACGACCTTTGGATACCATAGATTCAGATAGATTTATTAATTGCGTACTCCTCTAGAGATAGTAATCTTATAGCAAGTAGAAGTATGTCAATTCAAATATCAATAAAAATATGTAGTATAGATCTATCGTTGACAAGCAATTTCGTCAGCTTTTAGACACTGCTTTTGTACCAGTGAAAAACTCGAAAACTTTTTCTCCAGCCTTTTGCAAATAGAGGCAAAAACCCAATATACCCTTGTATTTTACGATTAATGCGTATAATGGCCAACAACATTTTTCGTGAGCTTTCATTTCGCTTCGAGTGCAGCGCAGCTGAGAGTGTGGCGGCTGCTTTGAAAGCTGTTACCCTGTTCCAAATGCCAGCAAGCAACGAAATGTTTGCCCAGCCCTTGACAAACGAATGTGTCCCAGCTAACCCCCATTTTAATGTGTGTGGGTGACTGTACATGCATGGGTATGTGTGTGTATGTGAATGAGTAAGAGAAAGCAATACTGGACAAGAGCTTTTTGCCATTGCTGCGCTGATAATCCGAATGCTGGGTGCCTGTTAAGATTTGTACCAAAAAAACCGCCAGACGCCAACATAACGCGTGCACTGAAAGTGGTCGAAATGGTCGAAGCAATTAAAGCCTTTATTCACATCGTTTAGTTCAGTTTAATGAGTAAAATAATAAATATTCTAAGGTCTCTCAACCGGCACCATTTGGCCTGAGACTTCTACATACATATAATCCTGACATGTCTCATAGCAATGTCGTTCGGTAGAGAATCGGTTCCGATTGCCGCCACAGTTAGAGTATATAAATTGACGGCATTCTCTTTTATACGGATCGTAGGCCCACAGCATGCGATGTCCTTTGCATTCTCCATATTCGGGACGTAGCGCACAGATCCCTATAGTAAATTACATCATCAATCCTTCATCCTTTACATATTTATATAAGAGTTCACGTTTTCTCAATGTATCGCTGGCTACAAACTCAACCGCTACCACAAGAACGGCCATTAGGCCAAGTAAAACTTTGAACATTCGCATCTTTCGGCTTTGAAACTCTGAATGTGAAATGAACTGAATTTCAGATGTTTTTGGCCTATTTATGGGTAACAATGAATTCATTTTGGTTACGAAAGAAAATGTGTTTGGGTCTATTAAACCAAGTACTTATTTGAAACGAGTTAGGGGGCAATAGGAGAACATCTGCATGGCTCTGATGTAAGGCCAAACTAGAGAAAAAAATATTAGTTTTACAATACAACACAATTATTTTAGAGTTTTGAAAGGAAACTTAAAAGCAGTAAAAAAGAAACGGCTAAAAGGGTATGTGATGGATCTGTAATGCATTAGCCAGCATTAATGAGAAAGTTCTAAGTGAAAGAAATACTATAATAAACTTTGAGTGTAAGTGTTTCGCAGAGTTTTACAGGAAACTTTAAATGTAAGATGTTGAATTAATCTGCATCTACATATGTAAGATGTTTCAGCTGCAGTCGTAACGAGTTTTTACCTGTCTATCCATTTAACACCCGTATAGTTAATTTAAGCCACTTAAAAAGTTACTTAGCTTTTTATATGAATATATGTTTATTGAAAATAATATCATTTATATTACATATGGTGATGGATAGTCATCATTCTTTTCAAACACCACACAAGTCATTACACATTCCTCATAAGTAGAAAAACGATTCCGATTTCCACCACAGTTTGAGTAAGTGAATTGAAGACATTCATTATTATTTGTACTGTAGGCCCAGACCATTGTATGTCCATGGCATCTTCCATATTCGGCACGCATTGCACAAATCCCTGTATGAAGGCACAGCGTTATTTATTTATATCCTTGATCCCTGATACTTATACCCTGATATCTTACTCGTCTTCAACGGATCACGGGCAAAACCATACTGAAACTGAATCATTGCAACCAGCACGGTCAGTAGTCCAAGTAATGGTCGAGAAAATCTCATATTTTCTATTTTCTCCCAGAAGGTCAGAGTGTCGACTGGACTGAAGTGCAACAGATGTTGGGGGTATTTATAGGTTAGTTTTCCCCAACGCAGCGGGCCCGCCTAATTGAAATAAATGACGGCTTAATACAGAAACAATGAACTAGTTCAACAAGTCCAACGATATTTTTCAGCTAGAGTTCTCCAATTCTTAGGAACGATATTCTTGTAATTCGAAATTTAACATATACATTTATATAGAAATCTTTTGATTTTAACTAAATTTCTAATTGTATTTAGCATCTAACATATACTTATCCTTTACAAAATTTCATGCACTGCTCATCGCTGTGGAAGCGATTTGGATTGCCGCCGCAGTTCGAATATGTGAACTGCTCGCATACTTGTCGGTAGATATTATAGGTCCACAGTGACCGACGTCCCCTGCAATTGCCATAGGCAGGTCGCAGGGCGCAGATAGCTGTGCAAAACAGAACAATTTATGATACATTTTTGTGGAAAATTTCAGGATGACAAACCGAAACGTTTTAGTCTTTCGCGTTTCTCCGTTTCCTCTTCCTGTTCTTCTTTTTCGGCATACACAAGTGAAGCGACTAGAAAAACCAGAACAAGGCGCATCCAGTGCATTTTGAGATCTTTGTAGAACCCACAGCAAGGCAATGACAGACTCAGACACGGGCTTCTACATATATAGTGCCACCCATAAAAAAGCCAATTAGTCAGCACAATGAAAATAATTAGTGGTTTGTTTTCTCTACAAAAAAATGTCTTCCAGATGGCTTCTAAATGCACAGAGCTCTTAATGTTGATAAAATTAAGCTGTTCTTGCAAATGGAGTCACGCGCTTGGCTAGACATAAATTTTTGTATACATTTATTTTGTATTTTTTAATTAGTAGGTATATAGTGCACAATCCCAAATTTTGTATTTCATCATTCCAGTTAAATTCCAGTTACATTCCAGTTTACGCCATGATAAACTAACTAACTCGTACAATCCTGTGCTTGTTGCAGAGCCTGTCGCATTTCGTATAGGTGTTGAAGCGATTTTCGTTGCCACCACAGTTCGAATAGACGAATAAATCGCATTTATTCTTTTCTGTATCGTAGTACCACATCGACCGATGTCCCTTGCATGTGCCATAGGACGGTTCCAGTAGGCAAACATCTGACCGGATCGGAAAATTCTATTATCTTTTTGACAAACTTTTTGGAAAATTCTCAGAAAAACAAACCTTTGATGTTTTTGTTATTAAATCGAAAAATCTTACCTGGCAACACATTTTCGCGTTGCGCATACACAAGCCGTGCGACTAGAGAAACAAGAGCAATGCGCAGCCAAAACATATTGAAACCTTCTCAGCACCCGCAGCAAGCCAATGAGCCACTTAGGGCCAGACTCGGGCATTTATACTCGCCGTCAATGAAAATAAAGATGAATGTCTCATCAAGAATACTTTCCTCTACCTGGCTTCTAAATTTAACAAACGAGGTGATCCGAAACTTTGATGTGGGAGAGTCATTGGGTACACACCGATTAACGATTCATCAAGCAGAAATTGTACTCGTTGTCATGGCACCTCAGATTCATAAGCCAAAGAGAAAGGTATTCTTCGAGTGCAATAGCTTATACATACATAAAGATCAAGAGTTTCTATATATTCTATATATTTTGAGCTGAATGACCTCTGTTATATACAGTTTTCAGAGAAAAAATAATGATGATACAATGAGTGAATAGAGGAGAGTCGATATTAGTTTCAAAGCTACTGCCACCAAAACGACTCTCTGCAAGATGAGCCGCACGGGTGCCTTGGTCGAAACAGTCTCGGACCTGGAGAGCGTGCTCAGCGTAAGCAGAACGGAAGAAGAGAGTCTTCTCCGCTCGCCTGAACCAGGTACCAGCTCCCTGCGTAGGGAAGGGCCGAAGCGTTCTAAAGAGGGGATGAAGGCTACGGCTCAATACAAGGCGGCCCTTAAAATCCGAAGCCGGCTACAAGGCAAAGAGGACATCTCCCAAGAGGAGAAGTCCAAAGTCCAGAAGTCAGCCTGGGCTGAGCAAAAGGTAGAAGAGGGGCGTCTTCACTACGCGCAGCTGCCTCAGATGAATTCGCCAATAAGGTTGAGGAGATGATGGCCACCAAAAGGCAACGCTCGATCGAGAGTGCCAAGGACACTCCGGCGGGCAAGCGGCAACGCGGGCCCAAGGTGGTTATCCCTCAACCTACGACGAAGAAGCCCAAGCAGAAGGCCAAGTTGAGTAACATGTCCAAGAGACACCTCAACGTGGCCCTGATCGACCGCAGCGAGGAAAATGGGAAGATGACGGCGGCGCAGTGGAAACAGGTCCACGCCCAGCTGGTGGAATCCCTTTTCGCGCGAAAAGACTCAGTATCAACGCGGACAAGACAGACCTCATCCTCTTCAACAAGAGGTACAAGGTAGACTCAATGTATTGGAAAGGGTGAAGAAGGTCACCATTGCGCTAATGCACATGCACATGTGCATGCACATCTCATGCACAAAGGGCAGGCTACAGAAAAGAAAACGTACAACAAGCTAATGGATAGAACTCAGCGGCAGGCACTGCTCTGCATCACTGGGGCGCTGAGGTCAACCCCAACAAAAGCACTCGAAACAATACTCGGAATCAAGCCCCTAGACATCCACGCTCAACTGACTGCAGGTAAGGCAGCACATCGCTGAAAGGATTCGGGCACAGTTCAATAGGCCGAGACATGATCAGTATAACTGACTACATGATCCCCCAAACTTGCCTGGACGTCAAAACAGCGGTACACATGGGACCCGACGACTGGAAAGAAAGTTGGGATCAGAATGAACACCTAAACATAGACACGGATGGCTCCCAGATGGAGGGAGGAGTAGGTGCGGGCATATACTGTACAGACCCTGAAATAAGGCTGTCCTATAAGCTACCGGACCAATGCAGCATATTCCATGCAGAAGTCTTTGCCATACGGAAAGCGGCGGAGGTTGCTCGATGTACGGAACGCCCACATAATGTGGTAAACCTGTTCGTGGACAGCCAGGCGGCGATAAGATCCATGCAGTCGTCAGCGGTCAGTTCCAAAAATGTCCTGGCAAGCAGGGAGGCATTAGATTTCCTAAGCACGACAAAGTCAGTGCGGATATATTGGGTTCCCAGCCACCAGGGCATCGAAGGCAACGAGACAGCAGATGTGCTGGCTATGGAAGGCGTCGGGCTGGTGAACGACAGGACTGAGAACGTGCCTGTCTCCCTCAGAACGCTTCAAAGCGATCTAGAGAGGCGGGCACACATACAGGCCAGTAGCAGGTGGAGGAGAATCACCAACTGCAAAATCGCGAAAACCATGTGCAAGGAGAGCAATGGTAAACTCAGGAAGGACTGTAGGATGCTAATGGGAATACTCACAGGTCATTGCCTGGCTGCAGCACATGCAGTCAAACTAGGCATCACCAACAGTGGAAAGTGCAGGAAATGTGATGAATATGGGGCTATCGAAATCCTGCAACATCTAACCTGCCAAAGCCCGGCCCTCTCAAGGGCAAGAAACAAATATCTTGGCAGCCCGGTACTGGCATCGCTGAAAGATGCATCCAAGAGGACGCCAGCGGAACTCCTTGCCTTTGCAAAATTCTCCTCGATCCTCACGGATTTCGAAACCATACGCACCAATCCGGACAACTAAGGGCCAAATTGGCCTATGCGTGGCCCCGTGAGGGCCGTCCGGGACAACCTAACCTATAATAAATAATTGTGCACACAGTATTTTCTTCAAAATTAAGATCATTTTCAGTTCTATTTGATTATTGCAATACCCTCTTTTACCATTCCTTTTACCCTGAAACATCCCTAAAGTTATAGCATTTAATATTTACAATCGTCCAGAGTCATCAAATTTGCAAAACAGTTTCCTAAGTTTCCCTATATGATTTAAATGTAAATGTTTTTTAAATAAATAATAGTCGAATCCACTATTTTATATCATACTGAGTTAGATCACACAAATGCTCAAGAAAAATATAAAATCTATTGAGAAACATTTTCTTCTTAAAAAGAAATCACCAGTCCTCACTAGGATTCTGCTAATTTGATCAAAAACAACAGATATATGTGTTTTACTCAACACTATTTTAATGAGTTTCGAAGTTCTTTAATAGACTCAAATTCGTAGGATATGTAGCTAATTTTATTCTTAAAATTTTTAAGCGTATCTATTATTATTGTTTATTCTTTAATATATAATCATTCATTTGCATGGACTTATGGATAGTATCTGGATCGTGTTGGTGGCAAAATTCGTTGCATTCCTCAAAGCTGTGAAAACGATTCTGGTTACCGCCGCAATTCGAATAGATGAACATGTCGCATTTCATCCTTTTGAAATCGAAGTACCACAGCAAGCGATGTCCCTTGCATTTGCCATAGGAAGGTGGCTTGAGGCAGACATCTGAGGGGATCGTAAACATAAGTATATCGTTAATTCTTGGGGTGAGTATTAGAGAAACAAACCATTGTGTAATTTCTCTCGTATCTGCTTAAACCAATTATCCCTAAAAGGATCATTGTTCTTAGCGGCATACACAATCCAAGCGACCAAAGAAACAATTGCAATGCGCAGCCATAACATATTGAGATGAGTTATTCCTGCTAACGATTAACCAACTCAGGCCCAGACTTCTGGCATTTATACTCCATTTAGTGCCCACCATGGAATGAAAGTAGACGGTTTCTACAAGGCAAAAAGTTTACTCCTACCTGAATTCCAAATTTAGCATCTCAAGTGATCCGAAAGTTTCGGTGCAGAAAAGTGCATGGGGAAGTGCATTACTCAATTTGGCTACCTCCAGGCACAAATAAAGACTGGCCTTGAAGCTACCAGATTTGGTTTGATTTTTTTAGCTGTTGTTTCCAATGCCGTACAGACCGTACAGAAATAAATATACTGAGGGCGGACTGCTTGGACTTAGCTTTTGAACAAAGGAGATCGTACTACTCGTACTACTACTGTCCCTACCTACCCTACCTAAAAGTCGGTCATAAGTTTTCAAGGCGATAATACAAGTTTCCTCTGAAATTCCGAATGTCCATAAAGACATGCATTTTTTGTTTTCATATTGTTTGTACATTCTATGTTTTTATTCTTACGAAATGTTTGGGCTATAAAAGTAACATATATTAAAGTTGAATTGCCATTAGTGGCAAAATTGGACGCATTCTTCATGTGTGTGGAACCGATTGCGGTTGCCGCCGCAGTTTGAATAGAGGAAATACTGGCATTTATCCCATAGGGCATCGTAGTACCACATAACGCGATGTCCTTTACATCTGCCATACCGCGGAATTTTCCTGCAAATAGCTGAGTGGTACATAATTTGTATAGTAATTTTTCTGGAAAAATGTCATTGTACAAACCATGGCGTAAGGTTATATCCATCTCTCCATTTTTTCCCGCCATGGTCTCTCCGTTGTTGACATACACAAGCGAAGCGGCTAGAAAGGCAAAGGCAAGGCACCTCCAGAACATTTTGAGATCTTCGCAGAACCCACGGCAAGGCAATGACAGTCTCCTGCCTGGTCTTCTATCATTTATAGTTCGAACCATAGAGGGCCATTAGCATTAGTCAGAGAAAAAACAATTAGTGGGGTGTTTTCTGTAAAAATATCTCCCAACTGGTTTCTAATTTTGATAATTAACGTTTTTCTGGTCCCCCTTCCAAAAGAAAAATGTATAAAATTAAATTGATTTATCCAAATATCAGAACAGAAGGCGATTTAAATGTAGCGACCCATCTGTGGATTCCAATAAGTATCGAGATTTTTATACCAGGGATTTTAGGGATAAATGCATTACATGAATACATACACTCAGAAAAAACTGTCGTATGAAATATTTAAATTATAAAAAATATTGAAATTAAATAGACTTCATTTTGATTTAAACATTTTTATTACCGGGGGAATACATTTTTGATTTAAAGTGTAAATAATATAATTTTAAAACATATTCAAGTTAGTATTACTGCTTTAAAACTGCTAAATATTTATTCCCTTTATTGTATGAACGGCAACCCCTGTCCCGGGGTCCCCGCCCGGGCGGGGCCCGGGCCTGGGCCACGCCCGCTTCCGGCGACCCCGTTAAAAGAAGACAAATTCATCCATTAGTTGTCAAACGTGGAAGAAAACTTTCACATGAAAAAGTAATTGGAAATTAGGGGACAAAACAAATGTTACCGATTAGTCGGCGGAAATTATATTATCGACGCGTCTTTGATGTATTGCGTCGCGACTCATCAGTTCGTATTTTCATTTTTGAATTTGATTGCAATTATTGTTAAATGCATTAAGATCAGAGTCCTTTAAAAACTTTTATTGGTTGAGTCCAACCATTTCTTGCAAGTCGTACTCATAAAGGGTTCTTTTTTAAACAAAATTTGGACAGCCTTTTATGCAACTTTTTTTTTTTAATTTCAATTGTAGAATATATATGTATCTACATTGTAGGCATTCTTCTTTATGGTTGTTAAAACCGTATTCCCAGAGAATATATCTCGTCAACGGGAGTGTTCTGGAAATAATAAATAAATAAAAATACATAAATAAATTAACATAAGATAATCGATGATTCCACTCGTAGAATTATGTTCATTTAAAATTTCAATCTTAAAATGTCCCAACTTGTGAAGCTTCATTTAAAAAAAAATTTGTTTAATTGAGCTTCCAAGTATTTTACTGAACCCGAAAATCCCAAGAAAATTCCAAAACTCCACCGTTTAAAGCCATTAAAGCCATTTAAAGCCATTAAGCAAAAAAAGACCCCCTTTTTTTTTTTTTTTTTTTTTTTTTTTCCCCCCCCCCCCCCCCCCCCCCCCCCCCCCCCCCCCCGGGGGGGGGGGTGGGTTGGGTGGTTGGGGGGGGGGGGTTTTTTTTTTTTTTTTTTTTTTTTTTTTTTTCCCCCCTTTTTTTTTTTTTTTTTTTTTTTTTTTTTTTTTTTTTCCCCCCCCCCCCCGTTCTGGGGGGGGGGGGGGGGGGGGCGCCGCCTCTTGGCTCCCTTTTTTTTTCCCCCCCCCCCCCCCCCCCCCCCCCCCCCCCCCCCCCCCCCCCCCCCCCCCCCACCCCCCCCCCCCCCCCCCCCCCCCCCCCCCCCCCCCCCCCCCTCCTTTTTTTTTTCTTTTTTTTTTTTTTCCCTTTCTCCTCCCCCCTCTTCTCTTTTCCCTCCCCCCCCCCAAAAACCAATCTATGTACATATGTACTTTAATTTAAAAAACATATTAATAAACCCTTATTAAAGTCAGTATGCTAAATAAAATATTAATATTGGATCATAGTTTAAGAACAACTGATTTTAAAATAAACACTGTGTACCAATTAAGTTTTTATAATATCTAATGAAGCTTAGTTAAATAAAATGTCGAGCGATTTCAATTTCAATAAGCACAACTTATTACAACTTATGTATGCATATGTACATATGTATGTATGTTTGCATCGTTCTTAGATGATGAAGCTGCAGAAAACAAAAACTAAGGAGGCGGGACACATAGAAGAAAACCACTGCCTTGCCTAGCATATATTTTTGTACGGTGTACAAGGTTTATTTAAAGGGAGCTGTGTAAATAATGCACAATAATTGTGACTTAAACTAATCTGCACCACTATGATTTCCATATATTTGAGCCGGCCGAATACGTTCGGTGCACATTTTACTGCATTCCTCAAAGGTGTGAAAGCGATTTTTATTGCCGCCACAGTTCGAATAGATGAAGCGCTCACATTTAAACCCTAAGCCATTGTGGTACCACATTGCACACCTTCCCTTGCATGGCCCATAAGAAGGGTTTTTGCTGCAGATTTCTGGACAGACCGGATGTTTGTATCAGTCAATAAATATTGGGAAAAATCTTTGGTTAACAAACCTTTGCGAAATTTTGTTATCATTTTTACATACTCCTCATGCGCGTTCAGATCTATGTGTGATATTGTGACGTATGCCGATACACGCCAAACGACTAGAAAAACCAGACCAAGGCGCAGCCAGTACATGTTGAGATCTTTCGTTGAAAGGCATTGGCCTCTGGTATTTATAGTTCCATTAATGGAAAAGAAATAAAAAAAACTGATTGATAAAGAAAGTTCTGTCCCATCCCAGCTGGCTTTTAAAATAATTGGCCAAAACATTGATGTGAATAAGTGTTTGGGCAACAGTATGCATTCTCTCAACAATTACATGAGTAATGCTACTGATTAATAGAGTCTGAGCTCTAAGTATTCTATCAGACGAAGCGACACAATGGAAGAGTCAAAATACATACAAAGACAAAAACGTGATCTTCCTACAAATTAGTGTAGCTAGCTCATAATTTTTACGAAAGGAGCCCAAAAGAGAATCCAAATTAAACACCCATTATCCTGAAACCAAGCAGAGTTGTTTTTATTCAAACAATTTGCTCCAAAAATAAAATATTTGGTTTTAAATTTGAATGCGCATGCCGTTTCTATTATTTTTTCCATCACTGTATGTACAATACTCAGCAAAAGATGTGTTAAGTGGTTGAGAACTATTTTTTCTGGCTGATAAACCCCATTTCACGAATACAACATAGAATTTTACTTCGTTTCTGGTATCGATTTTAAAAGAATCTAGCTCGAACACCAATTTATCGTGGCAGCTTTATATTTCAAGCTAAGCCAGGAATCCGATTCGAACAAAAAAATTCAAAATTAATATAAAAAAAAAGGTCATAGTATATGTTTATAGGAATATTTTATAATTAGTTAGAATATAAATCGGGCACTTTCCAGTGTTCTTTGTTACAAAATGACAGGCACGCCTCTTGGGTGTGAAAACGATTTCGGTTTCCGCCACAGTTCGAAAAAGTAAACAGCTCGCATTGATCTCTACGGAAATTGTAATTCCACATTTTTCGTTTCCCTTTACAACTGCCATAGGACGGGCCTTTAAAGCAGATTGCTGACCGGATTTGATATTATTATATCATTAGTTTTTGGGAAAATCACTGGTATACAAACCTCTGCGTTCCTTCAGCATCTTCTTTTGCTTCTGAATCTTTGGGTCCAAGTGTACATATTCTTCGGAGCTGCCAGAGACAAGTACAAGCCAAAGGGCTAGAAAAATAAGAGCAAGGCGCAGCCAGAACATTTTCAGATCTTATCGGAATACCCTGAGCGCTACCACTGACCGACTCAGGCACATTACTCTGGTATTTATAGTTCTATTAATGGAAAGGCAATGGCAGAGCCGTTCACTTCGTCACGAAAATTCTCACCTAGTTGGCTTTTAAAATAAGAAGCGAAGGTATTCCAAAAAATAAATGTAAAAAGTTCTTGGGCAGTTGTTCATTGTCGAAGAAGGAAACAATTTGTAACCTTCCGATTATTTTTAACTTCAATAATTTCAATCAATGCGGAACTTTGATTTCACGAATGGAAACCTGTTGCTTGTCACTGAATCCTTGATTTTCTTGATAACGTTTCTTACCAGCTCTTTGTTCACATAGTTCAACTTAAACTTTACATACAAATCTATAAACTATATAAATAAAAATGGAGAGAGAAAAATGAAAATGAATGCATCATCACGCGAGAACGTCTGGGCAGATTTGGTTTAAATTTTATTTAAATTTTTATTCAGTTGTTCGTATTTGCCAGGAGAATGTTTTTACGAAAGAAAATTTTGGAAATCCCACCTGAGATTGCGAAAAAGGTGATTTTGTATTTGTTTCTTTTATGGAATCTCAGCCGTACAATATTAGCCGAAGAGGCAGTTGTCATAGTCGAAGATTAGTTCTAAACTCGAGATATTATTCATCAATTGAGCATTCGATTTTGTTGGGGATCTAAGAAGGATGTGCTTAGGCAAGCGCTTAGGGAATATTTTTGATGTCATTTTTTGTTTTAGAGTTAAGCCTCTAACCCAGTTGCCAGATAAGGATTATTCCATTGGCGTAATAAATTTCGCGCAGAAATAAATGAATGGAGGCGTGCCGATTGCGCAACAGCCTACTAAGATCTTCGCTGCGTTGATGTCGGTTCATTGTCTGTCGTATGCAGTATGCATTGCATTGAAGTTTCAATATGCTGCGCTGGTAGAATGATCAAATTGCCCGTTTTGACTCATCCGCCAGAGCAACCCCAATGTGCCACAGTGAAAACAGTAAAAACCGATCAGAAAAAATAAAGTTAATTAGTAAATATTTTATCCCGATCAACATTGAGTCAACGACGACAATCAAAAGAATATAATGACGATGGTGACGCGAAAGAGTCGAGTTGAGTAGAGAAAATAATTTTTTAAGGAAGAAGCTTGAGGTTCGGCTGATTTTCTGCGAACGCTAACCACGCAAATCGAAGACGAAACGGCGTATTGTATATAACCATTTCCTTCACATTGCCAATTAAACATTTTAATAAATAAAACCCAACATACATATACATACATATGTACTATACATACACGCAAGTTTAATAAGACAATCGATGTAGTAGACAATAATCAAGTTATAATTTTTATTGAAAACGTTAATAAAAACCATATTGTTGCCTAAAGATTTTAATTCTTGGACAGCAACCATAGTCTGAATTCAAGCAAAGCCAATTATAATAATATTAATATTATTATCAATATATATGGACGAGAAAAATCATTCATTAAAGTCTATTAGTTGTCCAAAAATCTTTTCAAATTGTAGTTGCCGCAGAATTCCATGCATTCCTTGTGGGTGTAGAAGCGATTTTGGTTTCCGCCACAATTCGAATAAATAAACGTCCGGCATTTATTTCGACGGGCATCGTAGTGCCACATTCTGCGCTTTCCTTTGCAATTACCGTAGGAAGTACGGGGTATGAGGCAGATCTCTGATTGAATGAAAAAATGTATGATTACTTTTTTGGCCAAATCTATGGATAACAAACCTTTGCGCTCTTCCAATAAAATCTCAGCCATCTGATCCTGTAGATCGAATGCTTCAGATTCTATGGGATCTACATATAAAAGCCAAAAGGCTAGAAAAACAAGAGCAAGGTGCAGCCAGAGCATGTTGAGATCTTCACGGAATCCACTGAACGACTGAAGATCAGGCCTTTGGTACTTATAGTTCTATTAAGAGAAAGCAAAAGTCACTGATTTGTCATAAGTATTCTCACTTACATGGCTACCAAAATAAGTGGGCAAAGCTTTCACAAAAGTTTCGATGTAGAAAAGTGATTAACCAGTGGCTAAACGTGGAATCAGGGTATATAGTCATATTTAATGTCAGCAATTTGTCAGCCAGAAATAGTCACATCGCTTCAGTTCTTGTTAGAAAGTTGCAAAAAAAGCAACTTGGCCTTCGTTCCTACTTTGGAAAGTATGTTATTACAAAAGGACCTATTATTTTTCATATAATTTTCATATTTTTATTTTGTAATTATTGTTCATTTTTTTTCTACCTGATTTCTGTATTTAGATAAGCTGGTTGCTCTTTATCATTTCGTGAAATGGGGCAGAATGCATAGTGTACCTTCGTGTGAAAGTCAAAATCATGAATTGCAGTACAAACACACATTATATTTTGCCACCAATTATTTTATTCTCTTTTTTTCCATTAGACTTGGTTTTTTTACATTTCTTTTAAGTTGTTCCAGCATAACATACAACAACAAAAAAATTAAGAATATTTTTAAATTACTGAAAATAGTTATCTTATAGAGCTTTTGCTGAAACATAGCAAAGTGTCCTATTTGACACGTTGAATTCTTATAACAGTCGAATACATTATATTTATTTTAAAGTATTTATATTAATATGAAGTGTTTACCATATTGAAAAGACTTTTAAATACATTTATATTTAAATCGAAACTGATTCTATTTTATTAATAAATTTTTTGTATTCAATAAAGAAATATTTAATTTAAATATGGTGTATTACTTTTTACGGTGCCATTTTTACTTGAATGCGAGCATTAGTCTCTGTCATAGACGAGTACATCGGACATTTTCTAATCGAAGAATATTTCGATTAGGTATACGATTCTTTATGGGGCTCAACATTTTTCTTTCTGGCTGTTACATCCTTTGTCATAAATATACTATGAGTATTGGGTACAAAAATGGCACAGGGCTACAGCCGCTCTTCTCGTCCTTCTCCCTGCGAGGCAGCACGTTAACTGATCCAGATTCCTGCAGGTTTATTTTGTCATGTCTTGATCGATGTATTTTTTTAACGTGTGAAATGAATACATTAATAAACTAACATACTTGTTTCCTAAGAGAATCGATGTTTCTCTTCGTAGTATTATTTTTATTGAAATGCAAATCACAAGAATTTTAAAGCTTAAATAATTTACTATTTGTTATTGTTGTCTGATGCAGACCACATCATGAATTTAACCATTTGTACTTAAAATTATTATTACGCCTTGGATGAGTACTTTGAAAATCCCTTGTATTTTCTTCATTCTTCATTCTAATCTTCCAAGGTCACACTTCTTAAGTTGTAGTTGCTGCAAAACTCCATGCATTCCGAATAGATGTAGAAACGATTATCGTTGCCGCCACAGTTCGAATATTTAAACCGCTTACATTTATCTACGATGGGATCAAAGTACCACATTGAGCGACTTCCATGGCAATTTCCATAGAACGGCTTTTGAAGGCATTTTTCTGGGTGAATTGGGAATTTTAATAAACAATACATTTAAAAAAAAACTGTCTACAGCCAACCTTTGCGTTCATTCTTTATAACATTTTCAAACAGCTCTTGTGGGCCAATTTCAAACGTCTCGCGCTCTATGGGCTTTGCATATAAAAGCCAAGGTGCCAGACAAACAAGCGCAAGGCGCAGCCAGAACATATTGAGATCTCGTTGAAATCCACTGAAAGCTAAAACTGACCGATTCAAACACACGCCTCTAGTATTTATAGTTCCAAAGAAATAGAAAAAGGGCGAATAGATTTGTGAACAAAGTTTTGTCCCATCCCACCTGGCTTCTAAAATAAGTGGGCAAAGTGTTTTCTAAAAACTTAGATGTGATGTGGAAAAGTGCTTGGCGATTGCTTAACTCAACGTGTAATCAGTGGCCAAAAAATTAAGTGACCGGTTGGTTGATCAGCAGCAGAGAAACAGCAAGCGAATTCAATTAAATTTCCCAATAAATTACAAGTGCAGAAAGCGAAATACAAAAAATTAATCGCACGCGTTGCCACGGCGCTTCAGTTCATGTTAGACAGATGCATGAAAAATATATAAACTGGCCAACCTGGTCTGTGGTCTGCGACGTTTAAACCGGTACTTAGCACCCCGATACATGATTACGCAAGCTGAGCACCTTACCTCACTTCACCCTCAACTTACTCGTACATACCTCATCTCCTGCCTCACTTTAACGAATCAAAATATCTGTTGAGATCGCACACATCACACACACACGCCGCATTGAAAATGAAAACATCGGGAAAAATGTTTTGATAAATTTGAAATTCTAGATCAAGGCCAGGCCCGGCTAGGCCCATAAATATAAATGCACATTGGATATCAATGCTAGGCGCACGCAAAATGCGTAAGTAAACTAGTTTCTGTTTGCCTCCACCGCTGCAGCAGGAGCTCTGGAGAGCCCCGTTCCATGTTCCCCCGGCAAACGATTGCAAAGGAAGCACTGCAATGCACTGCACTGCCACGCAACACGATAAATTGTCAGGCGAATGCATTTTGTCACATTTGGCTATTTTGCATTTGTAAATTACAAGACAAAACACTTAGCAGTCGCTCAGGTTAGGTGACGCGAGATCGGGTATAGGCTCTGGTTACGGGTTACGTTGCGCGCTTGGCAGCCCCAATTACAAATGGAAATATATTTTATTTATTTTTATTTCGGCCACGTCTCGACCGGAGTGACTTGACTTGCACCGCAATCAAATGTGTTTCAGTCTTATTTATTTTTCAATAAATAAGATTAAGAAACTTTACGATTGATTGCCACCGTACTAATGTTACTAAATAATAATAATAAAAATTAGTGTCTTGAATTCTAATGATGGGTACAAAATACTTAGCATTGCATTTAAGTTTAAACAACATTTCAGCAGCACCTTTCTATGCAATTTTATTATATTCTTAGCTTTGTGATAGAAAAGACTCAATTCTTTCCAAATTACTGCATTCATTCGGTAATGATCACGAAAGCGAATTTGAAAGCCAAATTGCCCATAAAATTATGGAAAATCATTAAGTAAGTGTGCAGAATTCCCCCGAACTTTGCAGAGCCGGTGGCCTTCGTTCTAGTCTTGGCCTTCTATAAACAAATAATAGAAATTATGAATAAATAATAATAATAAATACAGTTCGGCATCAGATTTCGGCTCGGGGCAATGACAATTTGCTGTGGAAATCAGGCTGAAACCTTTTGACTGAATTGATTGCGGCCAAATGCGATTTGATTTAATGTGGCATTTACATGCATAATTTACTAAACTTCGCAGATACTTGGCAATTATTTCGAATCATTTCGGGTGACCCTTGGGCGGGCAGTCAAGGCCAGGAAGTGGGCTATCGCGGGGGCAAATCTCTTGCCACTGCATGATTGATGACAGCTGGAATTCGCTGGCTAGCCATCCAGCTAGCCAGCCTGTCGCACACACAAATGAACCACATGGAAAATTGTGCAATTATTGCTAATAAAAATGTTTATGAACGTTACATGTTACCCGATGCCAGCGCGATGGCAGCGATGACTCCTCTCCTGTGCCTGCCAGCCTGCCTGCCTGCCTGCTGGTGATATGAATCACCATAAATCTAAGAGCGGTATAAATATTTATCGCAATTTTATAATCATGCCTGGCCGAGGCCAAGACGGGACCGACCGAACGGCCAGCCTCATGCATGCGTGAGAATTGCACGCGCATCTAAAATAGTAAAATAATATGTTGGAAAATGTGACTCAAACAAGAGATACCCTAGAACTCTGACAAACCTAATTGCTACAGAAATTATAAGGTGTTTCTGTAAACCATTCCGGCCTAAGTTGTACAATTTTTTCTCCAGTTCAAGTTATACAGAAATAACCCGATATATCTCCTCTTGCAACTCTGGCCAATACAATCCCACTGTTTGATTACAGGGTAGCGCACATATTTGACCATTGGCCAGTTTATGTTGCTTTTATGACAGGCAAATTTTTACCACTGCGATTCGAATGGCAGAGATTAAAGCGCCAGTCAGAGATACTCGTACGAGATACGATACAGATGGATAAGAAAAAAAAAGGTCGAGCTGTGTTAGAAAGTGGGTTAATTAGGAGCAGCAGGAAGCGACATCCCACAGTCCCCCGTCCCCGAATTCCACCAATAAAGCGGGGCAGAGCATAACGCATTGGAATGCCCGAAAAACTTGACCTGAAAAGGCATCGGCATTGGCATCAGTGCCTGGCTGGACATGTCCAGGACGCTTGGCTCGGATCCGCTGGACGACGTCATGGTTAATTGGGCATTCAAATGTCAAGTTCAATTTTGGGCCACATTAGCGTTACCTATAAAAGGGCCGCTGGTTCTGCGCTCTGCATAAAATGAGATTTATTGTTGCATTTTTCCCAACTGCCTCGAATGCCTCGACTCCTGCCTGCCTGCTCCCTCAGTGCTGGTGGCAATGGTCCAGTGATCTGGGCCTGGCCTGGCCCAAAAACAATTGTCCAGACCTCGCCAGTCGCCAGTGGTTTGCCTTTTATCGTTTTGCTTTTGAATAATTTCTGCCCCGCATCGTACTCGTATAAATTGGAATATCGTTAGAAAAATGCAAGTTAAATGTTTGCCAATTGCATTTCGATGTTCATTTTTTAGTTTAATTTTGTTTTTATCATCTTTGGCTTAAATGAATGTTCTCCTCGCGTTGACATGCCGCTTCCGCTCAAGTCGGACGGCTTTTTTATCGGCCTAAATGAACGAAATAAAAATGCTGAAAAACCTGCAATTAATTTCGGCTAAATTGCTTGGCTTTTAAATCTTTTAAGTGCAGCCAACTAGATCGCCAAAAAAAAAAAGATATAAAACTAAAGAAAATCTGTGTGCGCTTTAAATCATAAAAATTGTTTCGGCTGCATTTGTGGGTCATAAATCAAACGATAA